GCAGATCTGCTTACTTTTAACATATTCATTCCAATGGATATGTTCCAAGTTGTCAATGTCTTTCTTATTGCCCAGAACTGGATAAAAGATTGTAGTTGCAATGCAAAATAGAGAGAAAAAATGACTTTTTTTTTTAAATCTTGGCACCACTCTTCTTTTGATTGCAATTTTCTGCAGCTATATCACACTGCTGGCCATGTTCAGCTTGTGATTCACCAAAGGACCCATATCCCCTGCACATGTGCTACTGTCCACTGATCAGTATGGTCTTTCTTCCCAACTCATGGCTTTGATTTTTTTTCCTTTCTAAACAAAAAATTCCTCATTTTTCTTTGTTGAGATTTATCTTACTTTGCCCAATATTTGTCAAGATCCTCCTGAATTTTGATACCGTTGTCTCCCTTTTTTGTGTGTGTCTTCTGAAAATTTGATAATTATATTTTCTAACTCAAAAGTGTATATAAATATATTGCTCAGTTTAGGGAATGAATAAGTTTATCAATGAAATGCAAGACAGATGTGATTAATTTCAAACCATAATAAAGAATAATAAAGCTATTATTCTATAAAGGCCATTGGCTCATAACTTCTTTCCAGTTATGAGAATTGTCAATATGACTAATACTGTGTTGCAAATTTATTTTGTATTTTTTCTACCATTCTTATTTAATTTGAAAAAGTATTGTTTCAAATGTTTAAGTTTTCATTTAGGAAAATGAAGTCAAATGCAGAGATATTGCTAAGAGTACGAATAAAACAGATCTTGGATCATAAGCTGAATATGAATCATCAACTAAACAGACAAATGTAATTTTAGACTGCATCCATCTGCATTTACAGGTGGGGTCAATAAAAGATCGCAATCACAAGTGTGTGATCAAGTCCTCACTCCTTTTGCAAATCATTATATACATGAGCAAAGATTCAGAGCTTCAATCTGGAGACCATACTGCTATTTTGATTTTTTTACATCTCTCTGGATTCACCACTGGCTGGACTAATGGAAGTCAAATTGCCAACTCATAGGAAATAAGAGTTCCCCTGAATCCTGCATTGGTCAAATCCAACTTCAAACACTGTATCCCTGAGCACCACACTTCAGCAATTGGAAAAACTAACATGAAAGATGAAAGAACTAAGAGCTAAATGTAATGAGGAAAAGCTGGTTTACTTTTAGAGCTTGCAGCTGAAGAGAGTCATGATAGCACTTTCAAGTAAGGGATATTTCACAAATACCATGTGGTAAGAAGAGCTCAGTAGCAATAACTGAATTAAAACAATCCAAAGCAGCACTACTGTCTACAATAGTCAAGTAAGAATGGAGGGATGGATGGAGAGATGGATAGGACAGAAACACCCACACTCATACACAAACACTCTTTTCTAAAAAAAAAAAAAAAAAAAAAGGAAAACATTTGGAAAACTGAAAGATAGATTAGGCCCCAAATTACACACAGGTAGTTTTTGACTTATGACCACAATTGAGTTGAAAATTTCCATTGCTAAGCAGGACATTTGTTAAGTGAGTTTTGCCCCTTTTTACAATCTTTCTTGCCACTGTTGTTAAGTGAATCACTGCAGTTGTTTAAGTCAGTAACACAGTTGTTAAGTGAATCTGGCTTCCTCATTAACTTTGCTTTTCAGAAGTTTGCAAAGGGTGATCACATAACCACGGGACACTGCAACCATCATAAATACAGTTGCCAGTTGCCAAGCATCCAAATTTTGATCATGTGACCTTGAGGTTGTAATGATTGTAAGCGTATTTCCTAAGAGAACCAACACCATCATTCCTTATCCAAGCCCTAGGCAGTTATATACATACAGTACTGATACATGTCTAGATTTGTTGTTTGGCCACCTGAGAATTGTGTTAAACTTATAGATAAATTATGACGTATATTTAAATGGTTTCTCATAGTTCCCAACTCGTGTGATAGCTACACTGACACATATGAAGCTTGCTAAGACTTTACTTTTCTCTTGTTCTTAGATGTCACATGCTCATTCTTTTCCTTTATTGTAAATGATGTGTTCCCCTGATTTTGTCTATAGGACAGACCATGATGTGCTCAGGAATATTCCATTTGTATGATTTAGTGTTCAGGGCAAGTAATGTTTTTTTAATGTTGGCCTACCAATAGATCAGCAAGTCACAAGTCATCAATGTAACCCGGAGAAGAATTGACTTTTGTCTTCCAGAACCTTGGCTGGATCATATGGATGCATTCAGAACACTGTTTTATTAATATAACATCAATTAATTTTTTTCTTCTCTGCTCTTGTTGTTTTGATGTCATCACTCTCAAGGTTTAGGTAACACAAGTACTAATATAAGAATAAACACTGTCAGATCTAATATTGTATGAAATTTTGGCTCTCAGTGTTGTGATGTTTTGTCTTTTAGGAGATAGATGAAATGCTGCATGGCTTGTCACATGTGACAAGAGCTTGTTAAATTATTCAGGGGAAACAACAAAAAGATGTTTGCATTATGCACTGTGTTTTATGTCTTGATCACAAGCCTGACACTTTCCTTACAATACAAAATGCCAATGATTTTAAAGAATCCCTTTAAAATGACAAATTATAAATCACAATAAGTTGAGTGCATAATACTTAGACTCTATCCTGATATGAGTATCTCCTAAACAGAAAATATGACATTATGATGTAACAATGATTATGAGCATAGATAATTTTAAAAGATGATGAGTCAGTCACAGAAGATAAAACATTAAAGGCTGTTTGTTATTTCATGAAATCTTCATGTTGAAGATTTAGCTATAAAAAACATTTGGCTAAAGATGGTTATTGTCTTTAAGCCTTCTTAGAAATATTCCTAGAAGCATTTAGTTGACTATTAAGGAAAGTGGATTTTTTTTATCTGTCTCAGCAACTTCTTGGACCAAATAAGATGACAAAAATGAATTCTAGCAATTCAAAGGAACTTCCTCACTTTGTGAAGACCAACATTCAGATAATCCTGGATTTATGACCAAAATTGGGACTGGAACTTTTATTACTAAGCAGTAAAGTTAAGTGAGCCATTATGCAACTGTGCCTGATTTTATGAATATTTTTGCCACTGTTGTTAAGTGAATCCAGCTTCCCCATTGACTGATTGTTGTAAGCTGGCTGGGAAAGTCACAAATGGTGATTACATGATCCCAGGATGCTGCAATTATTGTAAACACATGCCTATTGCCAAGCACCCAAATTATGATCACATGATTATGGGGACACTGTGACAGTAATAAATGTAAGATAGGTCATTTTTTTCAGCAGTATTGTAACTTTGAACATTGAGAATTGCCTGTACATTAAGTGACACTGAAAATGAGAATTAGTTTCATGTTGTCTGTGGAGTAAATATTTTCCAATGTATCATTCTTGTAGTGAAAATCGCACCCTATTCCATGGGTCACATATAAAACTGCCAATAACCATAGTAATAGGTCCCTGGGTACAACCCCAAAACAACTGAATCACCACTTGAATACTATCAGCACTGATAAAATCACCATCAGTCAATTATAAGAGGTAGCTTTATTTGGAACGGCTTACATCCTGTGATGATATTTTTATTCCAGGTCCTTGGGAAGGATTTGATAAATGCATAAAAATGCCAAAAGTAGTCTAAACATCTGGCTAACTGTGTAACAAACCATCATAATAAAGATAGGTGAATTCTTACATGCATATGTATGTGCTTGGATACTTAGGAAATACCGATTTCAAGGCAATTACACTATGGACCGCAAAAAAAATGACTCATCAATCTGAATGTAGACCAGGGGTGTCAAACTGCCGGCCTGCGGCCCAGTTTCATCATACCGAAGCCACACCTACCCCATTGCCAGCAATGCAAAAAGAGTTGCGATACGTCGCAACACGTCACGTGACGTGGCGAGTTTGACACCTGTGATGTAGACCATGTAGTCACCAGGAATTGAACCTGATTTAATGTCACCATCTAATTACTGCATAATGTTTTCAATAACTGCATTGTAAAACTGAACAACCAAAATCCATATCTGTCCAAATGGAATGAGATACTAAAATTGCCATTGAACTAGGTTGATGGAAATCTAAAAGAAGTCCAGGACAAAAGAAGTACACAGAGAGTTCATGAAGCTTAGAAGAACTGGAGTATATATGAATAATGGTGATTGCCAGTTTATAATATCAAACATATATTAGCTTCTTGTCTCCTTGTCCATCTCTCAATTTACCCAGAAATTTGGACTGGTGCTCTAATTCTATTGTTCCATATGTTGATGATGCTTTTACCCTCAAGCCATTCATTTAATGAACTGATATCCTCGTTTCCAACTGTCCCAGCCTGTGTCTGTTCTCAAATTTGTTGATCAGCAAGTAATAAAACAATAAAATAAAAATGGAAATGATGCAATAACACATAGAACAAAATAAAATAACAAAAAGAATGTTATAGCTAGTGGATCAGAATGAACTGCAGGAAGCAATTCAGAGGAAAATCAGTTGGAGCTGGCTATGAAAAGTCAAATTAAATAATAAATGAATAGCCAAAATAGTACAGTTATGATGGCCTGGTAAATATCAAAGGAAATCCAAGGCAAAACCAGCTCTGAATAAATAGATTATTTTTATTAGCCCTTCCATTCCTTTACATAAATACGGTGTTACGGTGTATACTGTGACTGATTTCATGGCAACTAAAGCAGAATTAAACCTTTTCATAATTATCAGAATAATGATCAAAAGCATCTGGTGAGGACAAGTGCTGAAAAGTCATTTACATTAAATATTCAAAACTAGTTTGAAATTGTATAAATGTCATAAGTTGGAGTACACAGACCATTCAGTCTGAATATTGACTAAATGTGGGCATGCTTGTCCTCATTTGTATGATGTCAGTTACAAAGACCACCAGCAGTAAATAAATTTCTTTTCAATTCTCAATTCCTTTTACTGAATATATGAACAGTTATAATTATTCTGAAAATAGGATATTGTACCTTGTGTTGCCTCCTTTGCCTTCTTCGAAGCCTCAAAAACTCTTTATGCTGCCTTGACACAAAGTTCACTGCTGCGTATTCAAGCAATGCAGCGAAGACAAAGAGAAGACATACAGCCATCCAGATGTCAATAGCTTTTACATAAGAGACCTGCAAGACAAGGAAGCAAGAAATAAAATCATGGAGTCTTGCAGATGTGGAGGAAATGACAGATGTGCTGGCAATATGTACAGAGATGTAGGTTCTACACAGAATAATTGTTCTTAGTATCTACAAGGGCCCCTCTGAATAATTTTATATTTTATTATTGCTTTTGAAAGCAAGAATTTAATGGTATTCGTCAGAGAAGCACGAAACATTCACATTTCAAATATCTACATTGTTACGTTTTGCCATTCTTAGATGCTCATTTGTTCCATTCCTCTGGGTATCAGTTTTAGGAATACTTTTAGTCCTTGACTAGAATATATTTAATCCTTGATCGCAACTGAGCCCAAAATTTCTGTTGCTAAGTGAGACATTTGTTAAGTGAATTTTGCCACATTTTATGACCTTTCTTGTCACAGTTGTTAAGTGAATCACTGCAGTTATTAAGTTAGTAACATGTTTGTTGTGAATCTTGACTTTGCTTGACAGATGGTGACAAAAGGTGATCATATGACCCTGGGACACTGCAACAGTCATAAAAATAGTCTGAGGCCAAGCATCCAAATTTTGATAAGATGCTGCAATGGTTGTAAGTGTGAGAAACAGTCATAAGTCACTTTTTTCAGTGCCGTTGTAAGTTTGAACAGTGACTAAATGAACTATTGTAAATTGAGGATTACCTGTACAGGAAACAATTTCAAGATCTTGATCCCCCTATTTGGAAATGTGAGATATTGAGCCTAGGAACCTCTTCATGCTAATCATGTGCCCTATGTTGATTTATGGGCCTTTTTCACCCTGGCTGGCTTGACTGAAACTATTCAAATAGTTTATCAATGAAGTATCAAAGAGATAAAGTAAGATAGGAAGAAAAACAAAAAGCAATTTAGATGTATATATAAATATATATTTATTAATTTAATTTTGATATACATTCAGATCAAAGTTCTTCTGTTATATTTTCATAAAAGAGATTATTACTTTCTTCCTTTAAGTGAATTTAATATCATAGATGATACTTAGATTTGGCTGTGGCGCTTTTAATAGAGTTGTGGTTGGCTTTTTTGTGGTCCTAAAATTCTTCTGTAATAACTTTATTAGTGTAGCTTATTATTTTTCTCCACCATCCTATTTCCTCATCCACTATATTAGGAACACATAACCATCTGGAAGATGTACCTGTGTCACTTTATCACTGAAGTAAAATCAGAAGGATCAACATTTTAGACTGAGCAAAAACCACTTCTCATTTGAATAAAGAAATTGAAGGCAAATCTGAAACAAATTCTGACTTGGCTTTTCTTCATCTCAAAAGCCCAATCCCTATTTTAGCTGGATAATTTTAACCCTTTGGTAGTCCTTGACATATGACCTCCCACCATTCAAAATTACAATGGACTCAAAAAAAGTCATTTATGACCTGTCTTCAGTTACAGTTGCTGTACTAATCCCCTCAAGATTGTGGCAACCATCTGATATTTACAACCAGTTGCAGTGTCCTGCAGTCACATGAGTACATTTTAAAACTTTTTAACTTTTTAAAATGTTTTCTGGCAATGTCTTGTTTAACAACCATCATAAAAATTGCTGTAAAATCAAGTATAGTAATGTGATACCTTCACTAAGGACCATGATTCAAAATTCAATTGTTGTTGCAAGGATTTTCTATATAGCTCTGAATAGTGAAATTCAAATATAGTAAGATAACAGTTCTGTCTAGTAATTCTTTATTATTTGTACTATTAAATTGGATATTTGGTTTCACAGATGGAATGGTTTGACAAGAAGCAAGTTTTACATATATTAAAATCTGTAACTTTCAGAGTTGTAGCACATGTGAAAAGTGGCTATGCTTATTTTATCCTCTTTACAATTTTTTCCATCCCTAGTGTAGATGGACAATGAAATCAATGCATAACATGCATGGATATAAAATACTTTCATACATTTGCAGTTTTCTAAATAATCAGCATTGTATATGAATACTTCCCAAAGCAGAACTACATACAAATTTATGCAAAACAAAACTATATTTTCATTGCTATGTAATAAATAAAACATGATATCTAGGGTATGAAATCCTGCATCCATAGCAACCATCAGCAAAACTCCCACTGGTATCAACAAGATAAATATTGTATTTCTCAGATCTTGTGGAAGCAACTATCATGCTGACCTTTAGTTTCTCAGGAATCAAAGCTAGATCTTTTGACCAGTATTTGTAGGTGGTTCACTGCGTGACACCATTTAAGCATGCTGCTATTATATAAATAGAAGTTGTGTTACATACAGAAGAAAAAGAGAAAATGATAAAATACTAGGTGTAGGCAATATAATCCAGCATGGGATGCTGGCAGGTAGTAGTAAGGACCACAGAATATTTAACTATGTTCTGGAGTTCTAAATAGATCTCCATCTGGAAAAAAATGAATTTTATATCCAAATAATTGGAAAATACAGAAATTTTCTATTCACCCTCCCCAAAGTGTGCAATTAGTAACATAAATTTCCTAAGCCATTTTTTTTTTTAAAAAATCCAATCACCCTTTTGTTGTTAATATGTTGCATAAAGTAAATTTAATTACAGGAATCTATATCATTTTAAAGGTTTCTATCTTAAATATGCTTGTTACTATAAACATATGTGAAAGATCACATACCTTTTTGATGTGGCCCCAAGTATTTCCTTTAATAGTATTCTACAGGAAGTACACACACACACACACACACACACACACACACACACAGGGTTTTCTTTCCATCTTGTCAATACAATAAATATAGATGCAGCTGGTCATTTAACAGCTGAAGAAATATCTTTTCCTCTGCCACATCTGGTTACCTTAATATTTAATTGAGATTCTTGTAGGACTCATTTCTATTTTATAAGTATGTGATATTTACCGTCATCTTTGATGGTCATAGGTTCAAAAACCATCTCAATGCCTCAACTACATCTGTAAATATGTACTTGCTCATTCCAAACATTTCTTCAGAAGGCAATCTTATTCATTTCTATTTTGGATTAGTACCTTGTAATGGTAGCAGTGTATAATGAGTTTCAATTACATTATCAGTTATCAGGACCTTAAGCACCTAAAAAGGTCATCCATAATGGGGAGGCCATGGGAATAGAATTAGGCTAAATATGACCCACTGCGGAAGAAAATGGTCATCCAACATTTTACTAAGAAAAGCAAATGAGCATTCACAACCAAGACAATGTTCTGGAAGAGGAGCTGTTCTTAGCCAAAGAGTGTTCAATAAACTACTGGGGAAGAGCAAAGGTTTAAGTACAAATAATATTTGTTTTTACAATATGGCTGGATTAAAGCCAAAAGAGATCCAGCTGCTGATATTATCAGAGACAAAAGAATATTAAATGTTCCAAAGGTATGTATATTATAGGTAAATTAAGTGTCAGAACCATAAGCCAAGTAAAAATATCAACAATGAATATTGATATTCTGGGAATCAGCAAACAGAAATTAACTGGAATTTTATTTATTTATCCATTTATTAAATTTATAAGCCACTCATCTCCCTGGTAAGAAATGGGTGATTTCAAACCAAAAGAACCATGTAAGAAACAAGTAGCCATCATTGTTAGGAAAACAATGTAAAATCAATTTTCAGGTGCAAAATGATAATAGCTCAATATCTCATCCAATAGAAACCAATCAATAATATTATGCTCTAGAAACAGATGGAGAGAAAGTGGGATAGTTCTATGGTACTTTGTAACAACCTCATAAAACAAAACAAAAAGATACCATGCTAATTATGATAGTTTGGAATGCTAAAGATGAAAGGAAAATAGTATCTAAGATAATGGAAAAATTAGGCCTTTGAGTATGAAATAATATTTCTGCCAAGAAAAGTCAATATTTATAGCACATACTGCCTTCCAACAGGAAACCTAAAAAATGAGTCATATGTGGACATCATTGGATTGGCAATACCAAAAACAAATTGATGATATATTCATTGAGATAATAGCTCTTGTCTTTCATTTGATCAGGGTCATAGCAAGAGTGAAAAGAGACCCTGGAAAGAAATGCAAAGTGGGCCCCCACAACATGCATTAACTTTTTTGCTATCTCAATTTTTTTTATTTAACTCTATTCTATCCTACATTTTTATACATTAAATATATTCTTATATAATTTTATACAGTTTTATTCAGTTTACTTTTATTCATTTTAATTACTTCTCATCTACTTGCCCTACTTTCTTCTTCATTCACATTTCCTGCTGATCCAAGTGCCCACCAGAAAGATTTTCTTTTGCCAACATTTTCCATTGAGGATAAGTTGATAAGGACTTACAGATGGGGAATGCAAACACAACAACAGGAGAAGCAAGAACTGTCTGAAATTTGGCAAAATAAATGCAAAGAAACACTGATGGACCCCTGAATTATCAAAGAGTATCTCAAGCCCCAGTCAGATGACAAGTGAGAACTTGTTTTGCTTCATTAAACAATTACAGTTTATAAAATGTGTCAGTTATCTGCTCCATAATCAATTATGAGAGTGAGGAGTTAACAGTTTAGAAAGATAAACTCCAGAGAACAAGTTTCATCTTGATCTGAGAGATAAAACCAGATCCCAAACCTAGTTATGGACTTGGTAGTCAAGAATCACCTGCTGACTATGTTGTTTATGCCCAGCTGCTAATGGCTAACACTAAGGTTGATAACTTAACCTAATGGAGTAATTTATGTTTACAATGATAGATAGTCCATTTGTCCACTTAAAAGTAGGCTGGATCAGGAAACAGATATCACAAGAAGCACTAAAATTCTATTTTCTTAGAAGAAGAAAAAATAAACATAGGCTATACAATAACAGAATCTTGAGGGCTTGACTGTGTTCTTCCCTTTCCTTTCTCTTATACCAAAGAGAATCATTAGTTTCTTTCTCATGTTTTCTTATTTTCCCCAGATAAACTCTTGTTTTATTAATGATTATGGCAGATTTCTTCCAAGTCATCTTTGTCCTCTTCTATACCACTTGACAATAAATCCATTAGCGATCAGGTGTAATCACAACCCTGTCAGACAGATACCCGAGATGTCTTTGTGATACCAGAAACAGTGACAGGCTCATTCTCCAGCCAGAGAGAATGATGCTTCTAGCTGAGAAGAACAACTCCAACTGTGTCAGAAGGCACACTGGGACTGCTATAATCTGTTCACTCTCTTAACTGTTGTCCTGCCAAGTCTCCTCTAGTGAATTCAAGGAGATCAGGTAGCTATCAAGATGCTAAATTTACAAAGATGTTCCTTACTTTTCAATATACAATGTTACAAGAATGAGGGATTATTGGAGAAAGTTTCATAGTTTTTGGTGTTTCTCTCCCCTGCTGTAAGGTAGGACAGAGTAGTGGGGGGTGAGGAAAGGGTTTTCAAGAGCAAAGTAACCTGCTAACTATCAGGCAAACTATCAAGTTCCTATAGTGACCATTCTTATCCAAGATCAAGTCAAGTTTACAACTTTAAGTTTGAAACTGGCTTCATATCTGGCTGGTTGTTGTATACAAAGCCTGCTTGGATTGGGTGAGTCAGCTCTCCCTGCCTGCCCAGCCCTTCCTGGGAGGGGGAAAGGGAGTGAAGTTTTCTGAGTTCTCATTGGCCACCTGGAAGCCCAAATGAGTAGCTCAGGGTGTGTGCATGCGCGTGTAGGCATGCATGCGACTCCCCGGGTCCCTTCCGTTGCCCCCCCCCATTAGCGAGCTCCAGCTTGGAGCAAGCGGGCTGCGCACAGGGATCTCCTCCTCTCGGTCTTCCACCCCGTGAATCCTCCACAGCCTCCCCAAGCCGAGCAAGCAGAAAGCCTGCCTGTTTGTAAGCCAGGAAACTTCGGGGCTCTGCCTTGTCAATTGCACACACACCTTGATGAAAATTGCCCTGCCTGCAAAAGGACTTCTCAGCAGTTTTTTAAAGCAATACTACCAAGAATGAAATTGGCGACAGCCAGAATGTTTAGGGAAGAAGGAAAGGAAGCAGTTAATAAACCAAGTAAGAAAGGCATTTGCCCTTCGAAAACTTGCATTTCCACAAATGTGATAAGTTGCCCCCTTTTCAGGTAAGGGGGAGGGAAGTAAATGCTTTCCTTTTAATTTGTTATTAAAACTCAGTGCACTATAGTACTTATTGACGGGAGCCAGATTGACCAGCCAGGATCTGTCATATATAACACCACAAATGCACCATGCAAGTTTATTTAGGTGGGTGGAAACCGCTGGCATAAGCTCGGTGGAAGTCGACGGGTGAAAGGACCGTGTAGTTGTTTTCTGTCCCCCCTCCATTCCTGCTTCGCAAATCCGAGAGAAATTTAACTGATATCCCTCCCCTTCCAGACCCATAGCCTCCTCCTCCTCCTCCTTCCTCCCTATCGTGTGGGGCACGAGGAAAGAGGGAACGCCTTGCGCCGCCACTGCCTGCCTGCCCACCTCCGCAGCCGCCAGTCGCACACTCAGTATGAGCCGCCACTGCATCCCCCATGAACATCTCCTACCGCCCCACCTCCTTTCAAGCTCTGCCTCCCCCAAGCTACTCCCACCAGAGGTGAGAGGTAAACGCCAAAAAGACCCCGGATGAAGAAGCGCTGAGAAATGCCTTGGATGGACACAGATGCTTAGGTTTGTTTTCATTATATAAAAAAAAACCACCCTACAACTCTTTCCGCCCCCTTCCCCATTACATGGGCCATCCTTTTCTAGTTCCTTCGAATGAATTAATCACGGGACGGCCACTACCAATCCGCAGTTCTGGAAGGGTGGGCAAGGAATTGGGATGGCGAAGGAGAGGGAAGAAGAGAGAAGGAGGCGGTATGCAATGTAGCATTATATAATGGGGAATAAACCTCCAGGAAATCTTACCGTCACGACAGTCAGATAATGCCTATCGTGCTCCCAGTATAGAGGTTGGAAAGAGATATCTTTAGTTGATTGGCTGGTTTTAATAATAATAATAATCCTAGGACTCTTTTTGAGCAAGGGGGGGGAAGAAAACTTGATGAGTAATATGCCAAACCACATGTGTAAAGGAATAAAATAGAATACCCGTATTTTCCAGTGTATAAGACAACTGGGCGTATAAGATGACCCCTGACTTTGAGAAGATTTTCAGGGTTTAGAAAGTCATCTTATACACCGGAAAATACGGTACTTACAAAAAAAAAGCTATTCTGTGACCAAAGAGGGAGTCAAGATGGAGGAGCAAATTATTAGAGATATATTTGAAAATTCTCTAAATAAAATCCACCAGTTTGTTGATGTTATTGTAGTAATTTGTAGCTTGGTCTTCTTTGCTGTGAGTGGCTAATTTTTTTCTGATTTTTATTATTTCTGATAAAAAGCAATTCCCAAGCAACTTACCAAAAAAAAGCTATTCTGTGACCAAAGAGGGAGTCAAGATGGAGGAGTAAATTATTTGAAAATTCTCTAAATAAAATCCACCAGTTTGTTGATGTTATTGTAGTAATTTGTAGCTTGGTCTTCTTTGCTGTGAGTGGCTAATTTTTTTCTGATTTTTATTATTTCTGATAAAAAGCAATTCCCAAGCAACTTACCAAAAAAAAGCTATTCTGTGACCAAAGAGGGAGTCAAGATGGAGGAGTAAATTATTTGAAAATTCTCTAAATAAAATCCACTAGTTTGTTGACCAGCTGTTCTCCAAGAGTAATTAAAAAAAATTCTCAAACTACTTTAGGGATGCAAACAGTATTACCAAACTACTGAGGCAACTTTACAATTAGCTGAAAATGCAGAGGAGTTAACTGCAATTTTGGAATATAAACCTGACACCAACTTTTATTCTGATGGTTTAAACATAAATCTCTCAACACAACTGAAAGAAGAGCTTCAAGAAAATTTGCAATTTTTAAAAAGACAAGTTTGGGACTTTTTCTTTAATGACATTAACAAGGTTGATAAAGGCTTTTAACCAGTGGTAGGATTCATCCAGTTCACACCAGTTCGGCAGAAACGATACCTAACTTTTTGTTGAATTTGGTGAATCGGTTAGAATAAATCGAGGCATGTCAAGCTGGTGACACTGCTACCGCGAGGCATGTCACATCAATGACGTCAATGCAATACGCATCATGCCAGTGATGACATCAATGTGATGCATGTCATGCCCATGATGAGATCAATGTGACCCATGTCGTGTCAGTGATGACGTCAATTCAACGCATGTCACGCCCATGATGTCAACGCAGCACATGTCACTCGAGTGATGACATCAATGTGATGCACGTCACACCCATGGTGACATCAATGTGATGCACATCGCACCAGTGATGAAGTCAATGTGATGCACATTGTGCTGGTGATGATATCAATTTAATGCGCATCATGCCCATGATGACATCAATGCAACATATGTCACAATGGTGATGTCAATGAGATGCATGTCACGCCTGTGATGACATCGATGTGACGCACATTGTGCTAGTGAGGTCAATGAGATGCATGTTGGACCGGTGATGATGTCAATGCAATGCGCGTTGTGCTGGTGATGGTCAATGCGACGCGCGATGTGCCAGTGATAACAATGAACAGAACCAGCTGTTAAATTATATGAATTCCACCACTGCTTATAACTACTTGATAAACTTTCCAGAGAAGAAAAAGATCTTATTCCATGAAGACAGGTTGAAGGATGGATTTTATTTGTTTGATATTTGTAGCTGAAAGTCTTAATCCATAATTTGAAAATGAAATTTATATATATATAGAATGCTTAAGTGATTCTTAAAGTATGCAAAATGTTATTGAAAGTGTTTAAGAATATCTGTGTTAAGAGAAAGTTAAAAAATGTTTTAATAGTTAAAGAAAAATTTTGAGTTTTAAAAAGGATGTTTGTAAAAGAAAAAATATTGTTCTCTAAGAATAGTTTGGAGGGAGGGATTTAAATTTAATATTGAAGTTCAAATCTGTATGTTAAGACATTAAAAAATGTATTAGAAAGCTTTGATTTTAGTAATGTGTTTAAAGAAAAGTTTAGCATTTTAAAAAGGGTGAAAAAGAAAAGAAAAAAGAGTGTTTTCCCTTAAGATCAAAGAATCTGAAAAAATACAGTGAACCTTGTTAATAAAAATGATGATTATTCACAAAGATTATTAGGTGCAAATAGAAATACATACCATTTCCACAGTAAAGATAAAGCAGGAATGGTTAAATTGACTATTTTATTCAAAGAGGAGAATATGTTTAAGCACCTTTTTCACTTGGACATCATTTCTGGATTTTTTGTTTGTGATGAAAAAAAATGAAATTTTGACTTTGGTTTTGTCGATTAGATAGATTTGTCATTATAGAAATGGCTAGTCATATACTAATGTGTAAAAGCAAAAAGTTGAAGCTGGCGTGTTTTTATTCTGTACTGCGCTAAAGAAAGTCGGAATTCCACGCTTTTTCTTTTTCCCCTTTTATCTCACTTTTTTTCTCTTCCCTTCTCTTTTTCCTTTCCCTAATTTCTTATTTGTATTTTTCTTTGTATTTTATATATTAAATAAATATAATAAAAATTGTACTTTAAAAAAAAATAAAAAATAAGAAAATAGGTTGTATAACCAACTGTCATCCTTAATGCAAATAAAAAGAAATGTATTTCACATAATGCCCTATATCTTAATTTTACCCTTCAATCATATACTGTATAATAAATCTCACTTGCTTGTATATACATGAAATAAAAGACATCTGGTCCACAAATTTATTAAGAACATTACTGATAATTTCAATGCATGAAAAAAAATAAGGAACATAATAGAAAAGATTATAGGAATCATCTCTATTTAGTTTGTTAGTTCTGAATTAATGGAAAGTACTTACTTTTGGAAGAGATGCTCTGGAGCCTGAACTCTGAGTGGTCATTGTCAAAACTGTAGTTATGCCCAGTGCAACTCTGGCTGGAGCAGCATCCATGTTGATCCAGAAAGATACCCAGGACAAAATGACGATCAGCAGGCTAGGAATGTACATCTGGATTAAATAATACCCCATCTGACGCTCCAAATGAAACTTTACTTCAATGCATGTAAATTTTCCTAGAACATGAAATTGTTTTTATAAATCATTTTTGTACATTTTAATCCTATTATATCATGAGCGTAAATTAACTGCCTTAGGCACAAGAACAGTGAAATATCAGATCTTATTCAATTGGATGGGCATTGTTCCTTCAGTACTAATACAAAGTATATTTTGACTGACATTCTACCCTGAAGGAATCAACCCCAAGTTAGTCATTTGAGAGTTGTATATCACTTTATACAAAGATGACTGCAATTATAACAATTGGTTCAATTTACTGATCTGTCTTGAGCATTTTTAATGTTTTGAAAATGAGGGCTTTAAAAATTAATACCGCTTTATACTTTTTAAACAAAATAATAAACAAAACAGTGTATTTGAAGTTTCAGACCACAAAGAGTTTGATGAAAGCATTTGTTGAAAGTGGGACTTGATATAAGGGACCAGGTGTTTTTAAAAAATCTAAATAACTAAATCACTTTGGCAACTGGAACTGCTTAGTGAAATCCCTAAATGTTGTAAATAATCATGTGACCTGGTATGGAGCTGCAATGCTCAACTGCATTTATAAGTTGGTATTCCTAAAAATTATTCTTTGGTTTTATCACTTTTTCTCTTTAGTATTTTTCAAATCGCAAAAGAAATTTCTGGGTACACCTAGATAGTGTTTTCTCATGCCCTGCCCCCATTCCATGGTCTATAATAAAGATGTATATTAATAAAACCTAATTTCTCTTAATACAATTTGTTAGTTAAAAAAGGCGCTATCAGATGCCTTCTGATTCTGGGATTTCCTAGAGAATGCATGTCTTCAGGGCCCTTTGTGGCTGGATATATCCCAGTTACACATTTGAATCATGTCCTTTGAAATTCCATATCTATTAAAACCTTGAAAATGAATTGAAATTTTGGTTTTACTATTTTTATAAGAAATTAAAGGAAACAAATTAGACTGAAAGTCATTATTGATGAGATTTGATGGATTATTTTCAAAGCTATGAAGCTACTTTCTTTCATTATAAAACTTCTTAAATTTATATATCACCATTCAGCCAGGACTTCAAGGCAACAGACAGACTATTTTCTTCTCTTAGTTTTTCCCACAACAATCGTGTAAGGTAGGCTGGGCTGGGAGAAAGTAACCAGGTCAGCTGCAACTGTATTAGAACCTATGTTTTCCAAATCCCAAACCAACAAGTTCACTACTATTTTATCTTGATATTATTTCTAATACACCAGACATGATGGATATATTGAATAAAAACTGATTACATACAATGTGTTGTTGGAAGTTTAATTCAGGAATTCCAATGCTAATTCATATGGCTTGGCTTTAATGTAGCATTTTCAAATTTGGGTCAGAAATTCTTAAGAGAGTTGGTATGACTTTAAAGATGGATCATTGTTTGTCATCAATGGATATGTTTTTCTTGGCCACATACTACTATTTGCAATTTATCAAGACATCAAGATGTCAATAGCCAAAGTATTATGCAACTGTAAAATAAATCAATACCCAATCTGCAGCTTGACTGTTGATAAGTGTATATCGGCTCATGATTTGAATTACTTCTTTAAAAAAGAAATTTAATCAAATCCATTTTGTTGATTCAATTATGTAATAAATGTGTATTAACTTTAATATTAATAACCAGGATTCTTTAATAAATTTCCAATATTGCCCATAAAATTTGGAAATCTTTGTTGAGTAATATAATACTTACCAGTATTGTAATGCTTTGTGCAATAACCAAGCTCCTTTTCTTCTTTCAAAATAAACTGCGGCAGAGTTAAGCCTTCTGCTACTTGTACTGGGCCATCGCTCATCCATTCAAATATCAGATCATTCATTGTATAGCCAACTAGAACAAATTATTTGTGATTAGATAATAACAGAATTGCTACAACAGGCAAATAGCAACAGTAGAAAATTATTTAATTTCTGAAAGAGAAAAGATAACTAATAAATACATTCAGATTATGGTTAATGCATGGAGTGATATGACATCAATAAATCAGGAATATCTAGATTAAATTTGGGGAATATTTGACCATAAGTATATTTATAACAAAGATATTAAAGTGAAGTAGATAGGACTTTCTACATCTTTTACCCTGATATAAATTGAGACTACAATTTATAGATACAATAGCATGGGAGCCACAAACTAAGGCACTTTTAGATCTAATATATTTGGACAATTCTATATTAGAAAAATCTGCATTAGATGCTATCAAGTCTCCAATCCTATTTGGATAATAGCACTAGCATCTTTAAATATTACATCTGAGTGCCTCAGGAGTATCCAGGTGCTTCTATACCTATCACTTTTACTATTATTACCCCATGCAATACAGGCTGTTTGTCTATGGGGATATAGAGGATTGACACTGTATGTTAAATATAAAGATGCACCCACGATGGCCTGCCTCAGAAATGTCATTCTTTACTCCATGTATTTATTCTTTGGCTTTGCATTTTAAGTGTCAAATAGTCCTCCAAGTCAAAAATTTCAATTATCCAAAGATTGTTTTTATTCAGGGCCTTAAGTAGGAAAACCGTTTACACTATCACTAAAGAGAAAGAAATAGAGACAGCAAACAGCTTGCTTACTGATAAGCATTAACAGACAGCTCAGAATTTAGTCACCCTATCCAAAAAGGGCATATCCATTCCTCAAAGTTGAGAAATAAGATTGTTTTCCTCCAAGGTTCTCTCCAAACTTATAGGGGACTGCAAATCCTAGAATTCCCAGTCACCTTCTTTGAGGGATTTGGAGAATAAAAGGTTCTACTAAATTATAGGAATTTGAATTAGAACATTTAGTTCTGTCTTCTCAAAAGCCATCAGGTCTTAAGATGCCTTAATAGGTTCTATTACAAGAACAAATTAAGGCCAATAAAATTACCTTTTCTTTTTCAAAAATAGTAAAGTAAACAAGTAATAGTAGCTGTAGTAGAGATACATATCCCTCTTCTGTTTGCTTTCTCCAATTGTTTTCTCAGTGACATATTCTGTATATGCCAGAAGCTCTGTATTATACTTCATGAAGTGATATTAAATGGTGCATCTTGAAGAGTCAGATTATGACTGGTGTATTTTTTTAAAAAAATATATAATATCTGACTTACAGCTTTCTAGTTGCATTGTACATGTTTGTACATCCATAGGAAAATTCTTTAGGTCCATGGGACAGGATAAAGTTAATGTTAGCCTAAAGGAATGCAAAGAAATGTAAATGTGTTTAGTAAGTATGGAATTGCTGCTAAAATGAAGTTATGACAGTTGCAGTGTCCCAGGGCCATGTGATCACCTTTTGTGACCTTCTGACAAGCAAAATCAAAGGGAAAGCCAGATTCACTTAACAATGGTGTTACTAACGTAAGTACTACAGTGATTCACTTAACAACTGCGGCAAGAAAGGTCATAAAATGGGGCAGAATTCATTAACTGTCTCACTTAGCAACAAAAATTTTGGGCTCAGTTGTGGTTGTAAGTCGAGGACTACTTGTATTATATTTGTACATGTACCATTAAGTTCCCTGATGTAAAAACTAAAAGAACATAGTGACAGCAATAAAGAAAATGACACATTTGGGATAGAAAAAATGAGGTCTTATTGTCTTTTCACCCTCTCAGATACAAATAAATTAATGAGCACAAGTATCTAATCCAAAGTATTAATCAATAATGTGATCATTTGGGCCTTTAATCAAGGGTCTTAGTATTATAGAGTAGTAGAGTGCAAGTCTTCAAACTCTATCCTTTGGCTTTTTTTTGTAAATTCCTTTCACTTTCCTCTGATATTTTGCCATCAACAGTAGTTTGTTTTCTTTTCATGAATATTAGATGACTGAGAATTTCATTTTTAGGTAAAAGTATTTCTTATCAGAAACCCAGTGTAAACACCAAAAGCAAAGTTTTACATTTAGGCAGGAAAAACCAAAGGTTTAAGTACAGATTACACGAGACCTGGCTCAAAAACAGCAACTGTGAGAGGGACCTTGGAGTCCTAGTGGACGATCACTTGACTATGAGCTAGCAGTGTGCAGCAGCAGCTAAAAAAACTAATACAATCCTGGGTTGTATAAACAGAGGCATAGAATCAAGATCACACAAAGTATTAGTACCGCTTTATAAAACCCTAGTAAGACTACACCTGGAATACTGCAACCAATTTTGGTCACCATACTACAAAAAAGATGTTGAGACCTTGGAAACAGTTCAGAGAAGAGCAACTAAAATGATCAAAGGCCTGGAGACTAAAACATATAAAGAATGGCTGCAGGATTAGTCTAAAAAAAAAAGAAATAGAGGTGACATGATAGCAGTATTCCAATTTGAGGGGCTGCCACAAAGAAGTGGGGTTCAAACTATTCTCCAAAGCACCAGAGGGCAAGATACGAAAAGATGGTTGGAAACTGATCAAAGAGAGAAGCAACCTGAAATTAAGGAGAAACTTCCTGAGGACAATTAACCAGTAGAACAGCTTGCCTTCAGAAATATGGGCGCTCCATCACAGGAGGTTTTTAAGAAGAGACTGGACAATCACTTGTCTGAAATGGTATAGATTCTCCTGCTTGAGCAGGGGGCTGGACAAGAAGACCTCCAAGGTCCCTTTCAGCTCTATTCTATTCTAGTAGCTCAGCTGCAACCTTGAAGTCAAACACAAGCAATCATTATTTTGCAGTTAATGTTTTTGTAGCACTATAAAAAGGAGATTACAGGGAATTTTTAATAAAATGAGAATTCAGAATGATATTTGCTTTGTTTACCAGGGGAGTTAAGACTACTTTTATCTGAAATATACATTCGCGTACTATTCTTAACCTACAGTATCTGAAGTGTGACTTTTTTTCTTTGCAAGTGACTAAATCAGCCTTTTCTATCTATTCTCATAATATCTGACCATTTAACAGCTTTGTAGCTCTACAGTGAACCATTTCAATTTATTATTGTCTTTACTGAAGTATAGCACCCAGAACTCAACATGGTAATCTTGAAAAAGAAAATAAAGTCTCTTTAAATAGTATGCAGCAAAACTCTTATTGCTTTCCCTCATGTCTCTGTTTCTACTCATCTGCAATACTCATTTACAAACCAGACTCATAGGAATGTTTATTTTTCAAACTGTGTCATTATGCTAAGTGCTACATTGCCAAAAGAAATGTTTCACACAGTTCACAGATTACCATAAGTCACTTCCGGTTATGCCAGCTGAAACCACTATCTGATAAGACTCTTATGTACACAGAGGTGTTCTTTGGCCTATATCCAGTAAACATCTCAAAAATCCCATTAATCCTGATTTCCATAAGAAATTGCCAATTTTTAAAAATCTTTCCAGCCAAGAGTAATGCTATCCTTAGATAAAATTACAAATACAAAGACTCTTTCTCCCATTTTTAATTAAATATGGTATCCTCATTTTTACTAGATGAAGCAATGCAACAGGATCAGGATAGATTTAAAGCAGAAGCCTTTTGGATTTAGAAGGGAAGGTGTTACTTTCAGCTGCTAAAATGTGTCACTCTTTTGTAGCATGAGAGAACTTCAATAAAGATGCATTTAACGAAATGAAAACTACAGTGCTGTAGAAGTTCTCAACAGAAGGCAACTTATTTCTCAGGGTTACAGGATTCACATATACAGAAGTAAATCCCACCCTCATATAAGTAATTAAATATATAACAAGCTCTGTATGTGCCTACAAGGCCTTACCCTATCCTACCTTACTCTACCCTCTCCCATCTCATCCTTGCTTTAATTCTATTGAGAGTTTCTCTGTCAATTAGCAAGTTTTATAGTGGAAAGCTTTACATTTTTAAAAAGACATTTCAAATAGCCAAGAATTTCATACAATTTTGCCTGAGGATAATTGAATTGTTTTTCTTACACTATGCTTTTTCCCCTCAAAAAATAGTTTCTTTGGGAGTGCTAGATCCAATGTGTTATCTTTCTTAAAAAACACATGCACAAAAACACCACCTATCAATGTTATCTGGGCACAAACAATATATATGTGGGAAGGGAAGGAGAGGAATCATTCTGGCTTTGAACAACAAGCAATAACTTTTGGTTTTGACAATGACCTTTGTGTTCTCACTGCTAATCTTTCCCAGGAAAATCAAAATTCTCTAAAATACTAGGTTGGATTATAGAATAAATTTAAAATCAGACTGAAGTGTTTGTGCACTGTATATATATAGTATACTGTACACAAAATGAAGTACAAATTCACATAGTGTTACAACCCATATAAAAGTTTGCTGGAGTTCTGAAGATTCCATATTCAGGTTATCAGCCCTGCTAAACTGATGAAGACTTTACTAGTCAAATGCACTAGAATAAATACAAACTATTTAAGGGCAATTATTTCGGTTGGATTTAAAAGGGACAGTGTCCTCTGTAATGTTGGCCATTGTAAATAGCTTAGTGTCAGCTGAAGTTGAAAGCTTCAGTACCACATTTCTTTGAAAATATTCTGTTGCTACTTTTATGTGAGTTCTTCAAATTTGGTTTCTTTCATCAGAAAGTATTAAGAGGAACCTCACCTTTCTTCTATGCAATTCAAGGGCGAGAAACCTTTTAGTACTTGGGTGTAGTAACATGTTGGGAAACCTGAAACCAGCAAAAGGGAGGACAATGAAACAAAATGGGTAGCTCTGATTCTTTCTTGTTTTTTTGGAAGGGGTTATGTTTTTTTTTAAAACAATCTTAACTTTATAGAAAGACTTAGATAGCCATTTTGAAATGTTTCTTACATTGAAACAGAAAACTTGCTATCAATGTTCAGCAATATTGACTGAGGAAGCCCTTGAGGCTACTAGTGTTCTTGGACCAATCATTATGACTAATGTTGGGTATATAATCATTTCAAATCATTTACTTAAATGGAAATGGAAGAACCCTGTTGGATCAAAGAAAAAATCCCACTAGAAAATTTGTTCTTGATTATTAAAAACAAATATTGAAGTAAGGTAAGGCATTGCTATTTGATTACATGATAAATAGTAAGGATTGTTTTGTTGAACTAATCGAGATAGTCTGGTTCATCTATAATGCTAAAGCACAATGAATGGACCAGTGCATCATGCTCAGCCAAAGCAAAAACAAACAAACAAAAGGAATAGCATGATGTATGATTCAGATCAATAAACATATATATAAGTTACTAAAGAAACCCATACAGTATTGGCTTTTTTTTCCCAGCAGGTGGAATTCATCTAATATCTTTCTTTTCATGTTTTAAGATGTTGAATTATATAATCTTATTACATAATCTTATGTAGATTATTCTTTAATTCTTATTGACCAATATGGTTTGTATTGTATCCTGTTATGCTTTTCCAACTGTGTAGATGTAAACAGGTAATAATACATGATAGAGAATCTATATTTTTTACTTAAAAACCTAAGTACAAATGTGTAATCACATTTTTCCCGAAATATATATAGAGCCCTGGTGCACAGTAGTTAAACTGCAGTATTGCAGACAAAACTCTGCCCACAGCCTGGAGTATTCTGGATCGTATAACTCTATGTAACCCTAACTAGAGAGCATGTATCTGTATGTTAGAATATCTGGCATTTATTGGGTTAAGTGCTGTCTCCTTAAGAGATGGATTATGGGAAATGTAGTTTAGCTAGTCAGTCATCCCATGTTAATGGGTCAGTGGGAGGAGTTTCTAAAGGGCATTGGGAGACTTCCTGGACACAAGCCAGTTTGGAATGCCTTTGTTCATCTAGCCTCATGTCTCCTAGCCACACGGCTTGGAGGTCCTATGCCAACATGTGATGCTTACGCAGAAGAAGAGGGGAAAATCCATTATCAAATTACCTGTGGAATGGACCAATACCACTAAATACACTTTTGGAAGTATCTCTACATAACTGTGAGTTATTGTTTAGGATTCCCAGAATAAAGCGATATTTTTTGTTTATTCCTCTGAGTTATCTGTCTGTCCTGGATGGGACTAAGGCCGTCTGTTCTGTCTGGGGCATTACAGTAATTTGATAGAATTAATTTTCCTCTGATCTCCTGCAACAGTTTGAAAGAAAAAAAGTAATCTAATAAGGCTAATTTTCCTCTAGTCGCCTGCAAAGTAAAGTCAGTGCTTGTCAGACAGCGTTTCAAAAGAAGGTGTGATTCAGATGCATTGTTTTGTTAATTCGCTGTTAATTCTGCAAGTCTCCACTGGTCTGCATGATAAA